GGCTTGATTGCGTCAAGCGACCTTTTACATGATTCTCCGCCTTTTCTCCGGATATTTTTTTAGGCTTAAAAGGTACTGCCGGTTCCTTCTTATCGGATTCCACTTTCTTCTTCAAAGCAGCAACCTTTGATTCTGGACGCTTTAGAGCAGACTCTTTTTCGGTGTTTTTCTTTGCCGAAGTTGCCGCTTTGATATCCTCCTCGTCGGGTAAAAATCCTGGTTTTTGCGGTAGCACTTTCCTAGGAACCTCCTTCTCTTCACTCACGCGTAGAACAGGTGTGGGAGTATTAGTGTCGACATTAGACAATCTCCTGGCTAACATCGAAACTTTGCTCGGCAATCTGGGTTTAGATGAAGCAGCTTCGGGTTCGTTAGGTTCTACAAGCTTCTTTTTGGGAACAACAAAATTCCTAGGCACTCTATCACTAGCAACGTCATCATTCTTTTTCTCTTTAGCAGTTGAAGCAACAGTTGGATTAGTAATCTGTGAAGGGATAGCTTTAGTAGGAGTTTCATTCTTGATAGTCGAAGCTGTCGATTTTGGTGCAACAGGCTTAGCATCGTTAACGTGGGTATCCTAAATAAATGCTGTGATTTACGGCTTGAGTCGTTTTCCACAGCAGCTAGACTACGGCAACAAACTGAGGAGACTCGCTAAAGAAACTCGAAATAACTACCCTGCATAGGGCTAACAACTCAAAGCAGTCCAGAATCATGCTAGAACATTATTCCTCAAAATAAACATAAGGAATAATCACAAAATACCACTCAAAAATTGGGAAAACTGCTATTACCCTGCTAACACTTCTATAAAAAATAACATAACACAGACACGCAAACATAACATAGAACTTTATTGCAAACAACACATGGACGTAAACATGGACATCGAAAACGAAACGTAGAACCGGACTTGATTTCACCCTAACTAAAAATCAAAAGTGGATGCAAAAGCGCATGCGAAAAGGCGGGCTTTGAACTTACCTTTTCCTTTTTAGCAGCGGCGATCACCGGTTTCTTAACTTCTTTTTTGGGTTCTTTAGGCAGCTGCGGCTAGAAAACCAAAATACGAGCAGGAAATAGCTAGCGCAAAGATATGTAGTGTTGATGGCCAAGTGGATGCGATAAAACTGGACATATGTCAGTGGTGCGTAACACAAATTATTAAAGGTTTTCGCAGTATAGACTCAAGGTCTCACCACGGGATTCTTCGCCAATTCTTCCGCTTCTTGTTTTGCTCTCAGCGCTGCTTCCCGTCGAAGAACACGTTCTAAACAATTACGCAGGCGGTATAATACCTTTCAAAGCCAAACTTACTGTATTCTCCATTCCTTAAAGTGGCATTTTCAACCTTATGTCGTCCCTCAGGCAGCCTCAAATTAATCGACACCTAAACGAATCTCTTTGATTTCGAAGGACAACGTTAAAAATGAAGGCTTACTTTTGTCAATCCTTTATTGGCCACTATGCTATCGATAATCTCCTTTTCTGCAACAGTAGCAAATGAGACACCCTAAATATGATTATTTGTAGAATGGCGACAAAGTGCATCAGATCTTTGCGAACACTTCCTTTTTTTATTAGAAATTAAATTTTGTGAAAGAATCGCAAGTGGCATCACAAATCTCATCGGGTCAACTCGATCGTTTTCAAATCACTTTGCTACATCATCAATCAAATATTATTCCTTACTCGGTACTATTTTCTAACATTTGCAGAACTGACTTCTAAAAAACTCCAGTCCTTGCTTTCATGCAAGTATACATTTTGCAGAAAAAATTGATATTCGGAGGGCTCGTGAAAGTTTCCTTGTGTCAATAAGTCCATTCCCAAGTCCAAAAGTTTGCTGAGATTTTGAATGTAGATTGCAGATTTTGAAACTAAAAACCGTTTTGACAAGCATTCATTTGCATTGATCTGGATATTGCTTTTGTATCGATACAGCCACAAATATTAGGTAGCCACATAAGTCTTGCAGCTTTGTAAATAACTTCTGCTGTTAAATGAGATGACTCAGGTGTTGGCCACAAAGCGAGCTATAGATCTGTATCATTTTTCTGATAAAATGTAAAAAAAAAACCTACGCAGTTCTCTAAAAACGGCACAGGTTTTATTGTTTTTTCTCTAACAAAAAGCCGTACAAACTGACCAAATGGAGCCGTAACTGTATTCGAAATGTTGCCAGCATGTTGGCTGATTATCTCAGCGAAAAACGAATTAAGTTGAAGCAAATTGAAGTTTGGCGCCGTTAAAAAGTCAAAACGGTTGGATGCGTCAACGCCGCCGCGGAAGTCGGTCAATGCCAAAGAGCTGGAACCGTTACATTTTGGCGAAACTTTGTATAATGAGGTAATATGACATGCTGAACCCGAATACCATACAATATGTGTCAATCACGTGCTCCCCTTTCCGTGGCAACTACGCATTCGCAGCTCGTGTGCATCATGAATCGGATTCCAAAACCTGCCGAGGCACACGTCAACGAACGCGACACATGGCTCTAGCGTTGCGCTCGAGCTGATCAGGGAGCATAACTTAGGTACAGACTGTATACAATTGCTGTCAGAGTGAGATATA